GAAAAAGCCCACAAGCCTTTTAAGATGTACACTATAGTTTTGTGCTTTTCCTGCCCCAGAATGGCAGGAAATGATGCTTCTGGTTTTTGGCAATTGTGATGAAGGGGTGCCAAGGACTGTTAAGAAAGGAGAAGCTGCAGATGGTCCTGGAGTATCAGGTTTATCACTCCTGATATCATGTCACTAATTGCTAGAGGAGTGTTGGGGGTGTGTGTGTGACTATCCTCATGCCTTCCTTATGAGCTCCTGGCTGACAGGGCTGAAAATGAAGGCTAGATCTTACTGTGTCCCCTTTAAGAAGATAATGTGTCTACTGGATCTAAAGCTGCATTACTCAAGCCTAGTACATACCATCCAGACCATCATGTAGGAAAAGGCTGCAATCCAGAGTGTGGAGGAAGCAAAAGTGACCAAGAACCACTTCTCCCAGTAGGGTTTATTGCAGTTGGGCACCGTGAAGTATAAGAGCAAAGACAGAGGCCAGGTGAAGAGCCACTTGATAATTTCTATTATGCCAGCTGTAAAAATAAACAACAAATATAAGATCCAAAGAGTTTTATTTGTGCTTCTTATGCCACTCTTTGTAAATAATCAAAGTTAGGCTAAAAGCAGAGCTGGAGAATATAGTTAGAAAAAAGTATGGAAATCTGAGTAGTTCAGGCCAGCAAACTTTAATACCTTACAGAAGAGATAGACAGGCAGGCAGGGAGACACACCATTATAGGCTTTATGATAGCCAAAGGCCAGCAGTTTAAAATAACATATAGGGACAAAGGGTCCAATAATACAATACAAAATAAAAACATCCATAAATACAAGATAAAAAAGGGAAAGAAAAGGAGGAGGATGGGAGCTGAGTACAATAACTGAAGAAGATGATAAACTGCAAATTTTACAGTATGTAAATTCAGTTAAGTCCTCTGGCTTCTGACAGGCAAATATTGTGCAAAATTTAGCCATTTGCCTGGAAACTTCACTGAACTGACCCCACAGTAAAAAGCGCATTGCGCTCTGTTGGTGCCTACGCAAATATTTTCAGTTTGAGGGGTTATCAATTCCAGGGAGGATAGATTGGCAAGTGATAGCTGCCTCGATTTCATATTAGAACAGATCTTGGGAGGGAATGTTGTTACATCTCCTTGAGGGGAAGGTATCTAAGTGTGCCAGAGTGAATATTCTTTGGTGTAAAAATACAGAATTTGAAACATATTTAGGGGTGGTGAAAGGTGGGTACAGTATATAAAGTCAAAATAGAAGCAGTATGAGATTGTAGTGCTGTCCCTTTGCATACTGAGGTCTTTAATTCTTTGTTTAATTTCACTTCCAGGCCAGCACGCATAGACCTTGATGAATAAAGTCTGCAGTAAGCTAGGAAAGAGGAAATTTGGTTCTGCTGTGAACAAGTATTATTTTCTAGGAGTATGACCTGAGCCAGAGATTCTCCTCCCAAAAAGTTGCTTGAACCAGTATTTTAACTAGCATAGCCTCAAGCAGGCATCAATGAGATATATCCCAGCTCTAATCAAAGGAGAACATTGGCAGTTGAGCAATGGGACTCAGAGTGTAGTTCTCAAGAATTTGGATTGTATTAAGTCTTATGCAGGGACAGCCTTGTACACAAAATACTATGTGCAATACAAAAGAAGCATACAATAATAAAATGAAAACAGCCCCAATAATTGCCCTGAAAAGGCTTTCTTACCAGTTGATTTGGTCTGTTTTCATTACACAGCAATAGCCAAGCTGTAGGTAGAATGCATTTAACCCCTTCAAATGCTTTTTCACAAATGTCTAAGAATAAGCAGGGCACCACCCTGAAAAGGCTTCAGGGATTCAAACAAGCTCTTTCTATTCTACAATTTCCAGCACCTAGTGCTAATAATGAAAACACTGGGAAGCTGTCTTCTCTCCCTCCAGTTGTTAAAGGTACTATTCCTCATGAGTATAGTAATTATCTACAAAAACACTACTTCAGTGCCTCCTACTCCTCTAAACACTGTTCTGTTCCTTTTTCCAGTGCAGGAATGGGATCTGTCTCGTGCCTGATCATGTCTTCACTAGAACAGCAGATCAAGTAGCTTCTTTAAAGTGTGAGATAGATCCAGTGCAAAAGACAGATTCTGCACAAACAAACCATCATTCAACAGGGAGCGTATACCAAGCTTTACAACCTAAAATGAAGGGCTCATACTGAGTTTCTACTCAAGTGCTGATGCACCTCCCATCCACTTTCTATTTCCATGAAATGATTCTTGTCCCCACAGCACCTCACATGGTTGTTATGGAATATTGCTGGCTGGCATGCTAAATTCATGGACCTGACTTCACCTCATTTTTAGTACAATTTAAAATCCTTTATTTGTAGGAAACATGGTCTTTCCAACCCTACAAAATTAAAAATTCACAGCTTCTTCCCTATTAGCAACTCCTACTTAGAGTGGTGGTCAAGCCCATTGAAATATGAGCACGTTTATCTCTGCCAAATTTTCTTACTGAATAAATCTAAGTTTTGGAATGACACATTATCTTTTCAATGCCCAGCTCACAATATCCCTCTCTTTTATTTTAAATGAATTAAATTGTCATTTCTTCTTTCAATATTTTTCAAGGGTTCTCTAGGGGGGTGGCTCTGTGCTACAGCATGAATATTTCCCTCTACAGGCTGGCTGTAGAGAATTCTCAAGTATTCCCCAGTTAGGCACAGAGACAGGAGGAATTTTGTGAATGTTTTTAGTGCAGAAGTGGGTTTCCAGGAGGTCAAAAGGCTTTACTGTAGTCCCTTATCTTTCAGATGTTGCCCTCTCCTGTTCTAGTGGAAGCACATGAGATGCCAATAACATTACTCCCACTTTATGACAGCATTTGCAATTGGCAGAGTTCAAAAGGTAGGACTGCTCTAATTCCAAAGCATCCAATCAAGAAGAGCCAAAACAGAAATTCTTGCTAATTCATGTAGTTATTACACATATTTTGCTTTCAAGTGCTACTAATATTAACTGCTTAATAATTAAAGCAAAAATACAAATGTTTTTGACATTTCTTCAAGAATCCATAGACCTGTAACATTGTGTTTTGGAAGCAGAAAACATAAATGGAATATAAAACAATATTAAAGAGCTTTGTAAGATTTCCCCCCTAAAAGATGAGGTGCTGCACAAATATTTAGAACCACAACTTCCACAACCCCATTCTAGCTGGGGTTGGTGGAAGTTGAAGCCCAAAACATTTGGAGGACACCAGGCTGCCTACCTTAACCCAAAAAGGACAAATACTTTAAACTGTCAAGTCCTACAAAGCAACGAATATAGAAGAGCAACTCTGGCATTTGCATAGTTGTTATTCTCCTTTTTTCTCCAAGGCATCAAAGGATACAATTATCTAAGGACAGTAAATTAATTTGAATTAATTTTAGCTGTATGAGAGAAGAAGTGAAGGGGAGGGAAAGCTTATGTAGATACACTGCTTGCTGTCCTCTATCCTTCCTAATAGTGTACAATAAAACAGGAGTAAATCTGTCCAAATTAGATATTTCATCATTGGCTGAAAGACAAGGAATTGAAATGTTAAGGAAAGATAGGTAGAAACCCAGGAATTTCTTACATGGTGGATCAAAGGGAGTGTAAGGACCTTGGTCATCATCGTCTTCTTCCTCTTCCTCTTCCTCCTCATCATTCTCATTATTTTCATTGTCATCATTTTCATTCTCTGTTTCATTCCCACCCTCAGCAGCCTCCTCATCTCTTCTGGTTCCATTTGCGCTTCTGTTAGCAGTATTGCTGAGCCCTGATCCGTTCTCCATGGTATGTTTGAGAGGGACCTTGATGGCTATCTCTGATTCTCCATTGGTATACACTCTGCTGTTGATTAATCTTTGTCTCTGGAAGAAAACAAAAACAAAGCAAAATCTGTAGGCATTTTTAAAACACAAATAAATAGAATAAAAAGACAAAGAGATGTGCAAAACCGAATGATCAAATTATTTGTTCAGAAATATTTGGCTGATGCCAATAATGCAGTAAGGTCATCAGGTGTGATTTTAAAGCACTTGTAACTTTTATTGATGCATTACACCTTTGCATACTCATTCCATGAGAATCGTAATATTCAATTATAAAATGCTGAATTTGATAGCACTTGAAGAGGCAGAGGATTTTTTTTTATTTTTGAATAATTATTAATTGCTTAGCTTAAATATGTCTGCAAATAATTGGAGGTTCAGTGCAGATTGGCTTTTGAGGAACCTGAACTTTTATAAGCGCTCCAAAGTCTAATGATGCCACCCCAGTGATAAAGATTCTGGTATGGTATGGGGAGGAGTCAGACTATTACATACCACATCAAGTTCTGGTTTGCCAGTGAATTACAGCCTGTTGGTGCATGTTGTTCCAAACACTCCCTTTATGTCTTCTTCTGGCTGGGTGCAGCTAGCAAACTCAAAATATAGTGTATTTATATTCTGACTAACCAAATTCCTGATATATGACAGTTATCAGGGTGCAAATGGTGCCTTCTGGGTTAAACAGTTGTCCCCATGGGCAAAAGAAGCATATAGGAACAACTCAAGCAGCAGATACCAGCATACAATTCCTTCACTCCTTATACTGCTTTTCTCCTGCTAAAATAATACTTTCTGAGCAAGAGCAAAGGAAGCAAAAGTCAGTGGACAGTTAATAGTTGGAGTGAGAGTAAGGGTGGGTTATAACATTTGAATAAAACATAGTAAATACCTCATTGATCAACATGCGACTAGCCATGGAGAGCCGGGTTCTGGGAGGAAAATGACTTGTGATCATAATCCGGAGTCCAGCCTCTGAAAAGGATAGCTGGTGTGGATATGCAGACAGCAATTCATCCACCATGATTACAGAGGCTTTGCGGTAGAAATTTCCTAAAGATAATTAGCAAAATTATAAGGAAAATGACTTTTGCATCATCAGTTTTTCTTATCTGAAAGTTCTGTAATTCATGGTGTTCTTGACCTTAATTTCACTTAACAACATTTTTAGTAGTATCTCCCTAATTTTTAGAAACATACAATAGCTAATTCTGAAAAATCTAGATGTATTGTGTCCTTCCACCACTGTCTTCTGCATTTATTACCTGTATCATATTTTTCTATCTCCTTATGTTCTCTGGCCAAATATATTTTTGATGGACTTTACAAAAACCTGGTTATTTAAATATAAACTATGACAGAAAAATAAGCTGTAAATAGTTTAAAAGATGATGTGGCATAATTCTCTTCAGAATTCCGTAAATGATGATCTGCACCCTCTGGCCTCATCAGGAAATGAAAGTGAACCTCTGGACATGCTATAGAACCCACATCCCTTGGAAAGAGAAGTGAAGCTCAGTATAAGACCAGCCTTGCCCCTCTCTGAGCCTGGGGTCATGAGTCTAAGTTAGGGGAAATGGCAAAGCCATACCAAGCCCTAGGGAATGTAAACATTTGTAGCTTCAGGCCTAAATGTGTAAAAGTCTTCTTGGAAGTAAGGCCATACTTCAGAGTTATGGCTGTCATAGAGAGTCTAGCTATATAAGCCCTGGGTTCTGCACCACTAGTATTGAAAACGGTTTCTTGTCAGATCCTACTTATGATAGGCTCCTTGATACCCATGTTTTAGACTAACTTTGGCTCCTTTTTTAACTATGTGTTGCTTATACAAAGGTATGTGGGCTGCCTAATTCTCTAAATTATTGATTTTCACTGTTCTTAACCTGGTTAAGGACTAGAACAATAATCCATCATGCTCTAGACATGACACTGCTGATCTGCATACTATGCCACATTGTAAGCTAAAGACGTAACAAAAGATTTAATGTTATTGTCAGTTCTGAACCATCCAGGCTCCTAATGTAAACTTCACCTTAGTTTCCAAAATAGAACATGGCAGGGCATTGTTCTCCAGATGCTTTTTCTTACTAAATCTAAACATCTTTTTAGCTGTACATATAAAGAGATGGACTGCTGTTGTGGCTAATAGTACAATCCTATACAAGTCTATTAAGAAGTAAATGCTACTCTTTTCCTTTATATTTACTTTTAGTAAGCACGTGCAGGGTTGCATTAAAGAAGATGAATGGCAAGCCAGGAAGTAGACAATTCAAGGCTCTCTTTGGCCACAAATTCACAAGTTCGATTTAGCAAGTCCCTGAGGATTTCTAACTCAGCAGGTAGCAAAACCAGGTTGACCTTGGAAACTAAGCAGGGTTGGACCTGGGTTAGTGCTTGGATGGTGGGAGAACACTAGGGAATCCCAGGGCTGTAAGGTAGACTAGGAAGTCAAAAAATGTCCCAGGAAAAGGCAGTGTCCAACTACTTCTATACTGTTCCCAAGAGAATTTGAGTCCAAGACGTTTTACTTTTACCTAAGAGTTCCCACTTTCCCAATCTAGACATAACAACATTAACTTTCCAAAAAAGGTAAGAATAGCCACTATCTTAGTGGCTCTCAAACTGCCTACTCCCTTTTTGAAAAGCTTATGTACAAACTGAAGCTGTCTCCTGCTGTGCTTCCCCCCAATCTGAGATTTAGAGATTGACTGTGTCCACACATACTGCTAAACCAGGATTTTTCATCATGGTTTATTGAACGAACTAGTGACCTGGTCCATATGTAATGCTAAGATGTCACCCTAAGTTTTATGTTACAGTGTTGTGCCAGAATTGGCCTGTAGGTGCCACTCCACCTCCAGATTCTGTTGTCCTTCAAGCTCAGAAACCTGCAGCTCCTTTAAACACTGACAAGAAGTTCCTTCTCTAGCTGTGTGCTCCCAAGACAGCAGCTGATTCCTTCAGCTGACTTTGAAGGATGCGAGCACTAGTGGTACAGCCCTTCTGCTGCCTATCTAGGGACAAGTCGGCAAACGGGAGGGAGGGAGGTAGAGAGGACAAGCTGGAGGAGACCGGGTGGAGGGAGGAGCAGGAAGGAGGGTGTCCAATTGCTCGGATATTTCTGCTATTAGCAGGAAGAGCTGAGTAATTTGTTAACTCTTTTGCTGTGAGGAAATTAATTTTGGTTTCTCCCCTCACCCAAAAGGCTGAAAATTGGCTGTTAATGATAGTGAAAATGGAGTAATTTTGCCCACTTAATTTTATTTAAGACTTTTCTATCTCATACTTCAGCTAAACCTGTAGAGAGCAACCAAAGTAATGATTAAAGCAATGCTTGGTGACAACAGAAAGAACAGTTTACTCAGCTTATTATATAAAAATGAGATATATCAAAGCTGAGTAACTAAAAAAGGAATATAACATTTTCCAAATATTACTCAATGTGACTTAATTTACAGTGGGGTAGTGGTAAGAATCATTGCCAGAATATGAAGCATCTAAAATAGCTTATAAAAGCAAGTTCAGTTTGTTCAGCTAGCATAAGACTTCTATACAAGTTATAGAAGAACATTATAAACCAGATCTGAGTTTAGTAAAATATTTCAAAATCTGCTGAGAAAGAATGACTCTACTGCACTCATAAAACTTAACTCCAACTAATCGACTCATTCTTATCCCTAATTGTTTTCCTTTCCTTTCCTTTCCTTTCCTTTCCTTTCCTTTCCTTTCCTTTCCTTTCCTT